CGCGTGGACAGCAAAAAGGTGTGTGTAAAAAAAAACAAGCCTGGCTGGCGGTCTGCCGCGAGGCGGTGGGAGCGGAGGGACACGTTGTCCCCCAGCAGTGGCTGTCGCACACGTGGGCGCCAGGAGTCCCGACGTCAGACCGCCGACGCCTCGACCTAGTCATGTACGGCGCAGCACCCCAGGGCTTCGCCCTGTGTTGCGATGCCACGCTGGTCAGCCCCATCAGCGGAACGAGCACCCTTCACCCACGAGCGGAGCATACTCCAGGCATCGCCTTGCGCATGGCCGAGAGCCGCAAGCACGCAACCTACCCGGAGTTGCAGCGCGGCGGCGGCCAACGCCCTTTCGTCCTTGCTGTTGAGGTCGGAGGGCGGTGGAACGCCGACTCGCATGCGCTTGTCCGACAGCTCGTCCGGGTCCGGGCTCTCCGGGCGCCACCTGCTCTCCGAGCTGCTGCCTCCACTTCCTGGACACGCAGGTGGTGGGGCATGCTGTCGACTGCAGTGCAGCACGCCGTTGGCGGCATGGCCCTGGGAGCACCGTGGCTGGTCTCCAAAGGGGCCGCTGCCTGCGAACCTGGCTTGGACCACGTGCTGGCGCTCGCTGAGCCAGCTGGCCCGAGCCGCCTGCCGCTGCGCTGAGCGCGGGACACGCCCATCCCGATGGGCCGCACGACGACTCCGTCATACGCACAGCTATATGCTTCGCGGGAAAAAAAAGATGTTTCGAATCCAGAGCGACAACAACATGTTAATTTTATTCAGATGCCTACCACAAGAATATATACGTGTGGTGTCGATGCGATGCGATACTAGCAGTTCTTAATTCAGAAAGTGTGGGTGTGTGCTTGTAGGCAAGTTTGTGGAATTTGGGTTGTTTTGGCTTTCAACTGTGAAACTGGATGCGCGTGCTGTGTGGTTCAAAAATACCATGAAGTACACATGTGCACAAGCAAAAACCATGATCGAAGATGAGTAGTCAATCAGCATCACTCCATATTTAATTTTGATAGCACTCGAAACTTGATCATTATCATAGCTAGCACCAGGCATTGCGTAAACTCATGTTTCTTCATTGCTTTGTGGTGTGTTGTGGATGGGCACGACTGATGCTTCCCACCCACCCACCAAGCGGCAGCTGAGGCAGTGCCGACATTTGGTGTACGCAGAATCCTTGCAGCGCAATGTGCCAGACATATGTTGCTTGACTCGAGGTACCAGCCCCTTCTGGCCCGCGAATTGGTGTTCAACTGGAGTGCATGGATATCGACAAAGTACAAGACTCCAACAGGCAGTTTCTCGGAATGCTTCGCGTACACCAGCGTACTGCCAATCGTCTAGGTGCCTGGCACGATATCTTTGAGAATGTAACTTCGATCTTCGACGATGTGCATCTCTCAGCAAGAACTTTGCATCCTGTTTTTGCACGTGCAGCAGCTTTTCCCGGTAGCGCTCAGGAAATTGGAGTTTATTTGCAACCTTGGACCCGGGCCTGGTCAAGGCTTGTCCGCTGCAGCTTGGGGGCACATGTTTGGATTTCTGGCGTGGAGGTGGGATGATGGAGCGCTGGGGTCATCCAGCGAGGCGCTTGAAAATGATGATCGGAACTAGCGTGCGTCGCGCTGCAAATAAGGGAGCCGCAAGACCTTGCTGGCTGTTGGAAAGCTTTGCTGTGTACAAAAGCAGTGAGGTGAGTAATCCAGGACCTGGGCATGCTCTTGTCGTGTCAGGATGCTTTCACATACATAGATCGTCTGGAAAAGCAGGCGGGGATCTCAGCCTCAAGAGTTGTTCCGTCCACTGTCACTTCTGCACATATGGCACAAGATGTTCGCTTTTGACCAGGACCAGTTGATCTCCGAGTCGGAGTTCTCCACTGCTTTTGGATTTGCTGCGACAGCCTGGACCTCGTGTGATGCTTCGGCAGTAGAGTGGAAGTGTGCCCATTCACACCAGGAATTGGCCATGTTTCCGTACTGTGTGCCGGGGCCTGTTGATACGAAGATGTCGCTTGTTGTTGTTGCTGCGCCTACGAGTGTGTCTGTGTGTGTGTGTGCGCACGCAGATGGTTGCACAAACATTTCGCCAACAGCAGCCAAGCTTGGGCCGGAATCTCGTGCTGTGTCGTGTCGCAGAGACATTGGAAGTTCTTATCTTTGCTTGAGGACGTCGTGGCACAGGGTCGGGATTTGAACAAGACCAGGCCACCTAGCATACGCACAGGACTAATGCACGGCTTCAGAATTAGTTTAGGTATTTTTTTTGTTTTGTTTCCGGTATTTTTTTTTGTTTCTCTCTGTTTCACGCAAACAGTACCTAATTTGGAATCTCCACACCCCGGCTGTGCGCGGGCAGCGAGGGTGTGGGTGGGGTGGGGTGGGGTGGATTTCTATTATTTTAATAATTAAGATTAAAATCTTAATAGA